ATAGACACAGAGTCTTTGTTCTGTAGTTAATGTGCAACTGGAAGAAGAGAACCCCCAGTAGACACTTTTATCGTGAGTTTCGAAGAGGGAGAAAGACTTCACATTAAATCTGAGTGTCGACAGTGTCAGATGTTCTCTGGAAAATAGAAATGTATCACATGTTGGTTAATTTAGAAAACGTTGGTAGAACTTCCTGTAGGGAATTGATTACAAAAAAAACAAACGTGTCTGCTTGTGTGATTGTCGCCTTTCCATGGTATTTATCTTGTCTTTGTTTTGCTTTTCAGTGGAAAGACGTTCTCCCGCTGAGGCCTGCCCACCCCCCCACCAGAGAAATCCAAACCCCTGTGGACACGCCCAGACGCGCTACACTGAGACTCAAACGCCACATCGATACTCAAACGCCACATCGGACAGGACCACAGGACGCCTCTAAATGTCCCCGCCCAGCCCCCGTACATGTCCCGTCTTTTCTTTTTTTTAATGAATAATAATGTCGGCCCTGCTTAGAGAGAGCCTCGGCTCGAGATAAATGGAAAAGGGTATTCCTTGCTTTGCGTAGTTAAAGAGAATTATTAGTCCTATATAAATATATATATGAAAAAAATGAAATTTTTGATACGATATCTTTTACTCCATTTGGTACTCTTGCTTGCCCCTCAACCCCCTCACCATGCAGTATCCACGCATCGGATGATTTCAACCCCCCCTCTCCTCCTCTCTGTGCTTCATGTCGTCTGTACCATTGTCATTTGAAAAAAATAAAATAAATCACTCTTACAAAAAAGCATCTCTGGCATGAAGACATTTTGTTATTCTTTCACAACCACTTCTGTTCTTTGGTTCTCTGTCCTATTTCCTCTGACAATATTACAAGTTTAATAAATAATAACTACATGATGATTTTGAGCATAAACTGAGCTGTACACTGGAAATGCTCAACAAAGTCTTTCAAAACTATTTTCAAAATACTTTTGACATTCGGGCACTTTTTCTCTAGTAAATAATGACTTGTTTCAAATGCAAGTCAATCTGTTCACTAGGAGTACCATATAAGTGCAGTTTTTGCATTCATACTACTTAACATAATTTAAAGTTATATTTAACATTTGTCTAAATCATAATTTATACAAAAGTATTCCTGCTTGAGAAACATTGCAAGTATTTTGTATAAACGTTGGTTTCAAGGTCTTTATAAAGTGGTTTTAAAATATATCTTATTACAATATATTCCTTAGATTTCTAGTTTGAATGTTTCCTGTAGTGTTTTTGACAAGATCATGATATTTCTTGAGAATTTTAAAACTAAATAATGCCTAAATGGTGCCAATGAAATATATTCCATTGTTTTACAGTGACATTTCTGCACTCTTTCAATAGTCATCATTTGTTCAACCCAAACTAGACTTGTCTAAATCATGTTTTATGCAAAAGTCGCCCTGCTTGAGAAACAATGCTCTTTGTGAATAATTCAAGTATATTGTATGAAGGTAAATGAAGATTATAAAAGGAAACAATGGCCACAAATGTCATGTATCAAAAGAGAGGAAATAAAACAAGGCTGGGCGTTTCATTTTCAAATCATTTATTGAGTGACAAACTTTAAGTAGCTTCACAGGTTTATAGCATATATTATAACTCAGGCTTTGGTCTTTTCACCCTCACCCTCTTTTTCTTCCTTGGGCTTCTCATCTTTATTCTCGTCAGAGGAGGATGAGGAAGAGGAAGAGGAAGAAGAGGAGGAGGAGGAAGACGAAGAGGAAGAATCTCTCTTATTTTTTTCAGAGGTTTTTTTCTTTTGGCTTGGAGCAACAGGAGCGGCTTCATTGTTAACGACGTTCTTCTTGATGAGATCTCCCGCCAACGCATCGAGGGGGTCAACTGCTGCAGGGGGAGTGGACGGAGTGGACTTGTTAGCGGGGGAACTTTTCTTGCTCTTGGGGGTGTCTTTTTTCACCACTTCCTGCTGCTGGGCCACCTTCTCTTCAGGCTTTTGCTTGTCTGGAAACGAAAAATACATCAGAGTCAGGTGATCCTTTATAAAAAACACGGGACAGAGAAATTCAAATTGGATTCGATTTAGTTGTGTTAAAATCTTGCATGCAGTTACAGGATGCGGTTAAGTGACTCAGCTTTAAAGGAAACATGCCTATCTGCTTTCTGCTGCAGAGAGATGAGAATCTGGAAGTGTTACCTTCCTCCTCATATTTCTTTTATCAGGAGCGCAAATAAGCATGTTTGTCAAAACTACTCCTTCAAGAAGTGACGTGAGGGTTAGATCTCAAGTTGAACTTTGCATGCTTTAACTGAATACAAAGTGTGTAAACAATATGGTCTTATTATCCACATATACAGTGAAGAATGTCATCAACAATATTGTTTACACCATATTAAATCTACACACTGGCGCTGGAGTTTTTGTGATTTGATTTTATTCTCCAGGCTCGATCCAGAACTTACCGCTTTGCAGCGCATCTTCTAAAGCAAACTCCAAGCTGTCGAGGAAGAGGAGGATAAGTATGCCAACGTGCAGGTACACCATGCTTTTGTGTGTGTTTATGCTATCAAGTTAAAACGTTCAGATTTATTTATTGGTTTTATTTCTAAGAAAATAGAGGTAGCAGCCGGTTAGCTTAGTAACAAAATATAACCCGGTAAAACCTTTAAAAAAATGATACTTGTCTACATTAAGTAGAACATAACATGCTCTGAAGAGGTGATGATTGGTTGATCGAAAGCCAGGCTGCAGCTTTTTACTCATAATATAAGTTTCCCCTGGGCACTCGTGACCGTTCCCAACCAGATGATTTTATTTGAGCCAGTCTAACTCTGTGACATCACACGATCATCAGGAAGAGTTTCTCACCTTTCAGGGTCGGCTGTAATGCCATGAATCAGCCTCTGGTAGTTATCCATCTCCGCCTCCAGCTTCATCTTCACACACAGCAGGTCCTTGTTGTTCCTCACGATGCGCTCCACCTCGGCCCTCACCTCCTTCAGCTCGGCCTCCAGATCCAGGATGACCTTGTTGAGAGGGCCCAGATGCTGGCCGTTCTCCAATTTGGTGAGGGCAACAGCCTCCTCCAGATGACGGATCTGAAACAAAGTGACATGATTTTGATCCCCTTTTTGGGCCTCAAATCCTAAACTGAAAATCCAAGTGTCAAATCCTGAATGGAATAGTTCACTGGGGTCTTCTTTTGTTTGTTTTGTTATGTAAAAGCAGATCCCTGTGTCAGTGGGACAGTGTTTGTCAAGTTTAAGGTTACAGGATTTACAGTGTAATGACAGGTCAGTGAGGAATGCTTTTGAAAAGGATAGGTATAGAAACCCCTCAGGCGGTTTACCATTCCTGTTGTGGCAAAGGGAAGATTTTCTACATGTTTTTGAAGTATTGCTTCAAATGGTTTGAGGAATTTGGCATCATCTGTTTGACTGATCACACTGCACAGTGATCGTGAGTCTTGTGTGTGGTTACCTTGCTGTGTTCTCCCTGGACCTTGATCTCTAGAGATTGTTTCTGTTTGAGCAGTTCTCTGAGCTCGGACTTTCCAGAGTTCAGGTCGTCATTGTTTTGTGCCTCCACCACCTTGATGGTCTCAAACTGGAGGAAGGAAAATGAGACAGTGATGATGAGATCAACAGAGGATTAGAGAACGATAAATTAAAGAGGTTATATGGTAACGTACCTTGTTTTGGTACCAGTCCTCCGTTTCCTTCAGGTTCTTGTCGGCTAGTTTATCATACTGGACGCGGATGTTGTTAACCATCTCAGCCAGGTTGGAGTCCTGAGACTCGATTTCCACTGTCACCTCGGAGTCCTTGATCTTCTCACGCAGGGCACACACCTCCTACAAGAGCCACAGTCACAAGTTAGACTCACTTTTCCATAATTAAATGTTGTTATTTGATCTTGAAGTGTGTGTTTCCTCACCTCTTTGTGTTCCTTCTCGAGGCGGTCGAGCTCTTCCTTCACCAGGTTGATCTCTTTCTGGATCTGGATGCGGTTCAGCCCGGTGTCCTCGATGGTCTTCTTCAGATCCTCCAGGTCATTCTCCAGTTCCCTCTTTCCATTCTTCTCATCCTCCAGCCTGCACACAGGGAGAGGAAGTTCACACCGACACCACTGACCAATCAGGATTATTGGATATAAAATAAATCTAGCACTAAACTCACTTGTTCTTGAAGTCATCATTAGCCAATTTGGTGTTGTCGATCTGGAGCAGCAGCTTGGCATTGTCGATGGTGATTTCCTTGATCTATGGAGATAAATGCATGATATATATTACAAGTAATATTGTTATAATGAAAAAGACTGTATTTAATTTAATATTATTTTACAAATAAATAAGGTAAGGAATACACCTGAAGACTAACCTGCTTCTTGAGGATGTCCAGTGGCTTCTCCACCTCATCCCAGTTGCGGCCCTCAGGTGTTTTCCTCTTGACCAAAATCGCATCAATCTGCTTCTCCATGTCGCCGTTCTCCTGCTCCAGCTGCCTCACCCGGCCCAGGTACCCGGACAGACGGTCGTTCAGACCCCGCAGAGTCTGCTTGTCGTCCGCGGGGACAACAGGCACGGCCGGAGCGAGGGGGGCTGCAGGGGCAGCTGCAGCTGAAGGGGCCGGAGCCGAGTCTCTCTCCGTGTCGTTGCGCAGCACATTGCGCAGCCCCTCCAGACTCGCCACGGACACCCTGGAGCCCCTTCCCCCGGCTCCACCGAACATACTGGCTGAGGTGTTTGAAGGCATGACTTCTGAGAGATAGCTGACAGCAACGGAGCGTTTCAGGCTAAAGATTCAGATGTTGGATGTGATGGACACAGGTGGGTTTTATACCTGGTTTTTACGCGTAAATCCGCCCCCAGCGATGCCATTGGCTCCCGGTGACAGCACCACTCCTGGATAAACTGGTTTACACTCAAAAGTTTTTCATGTCGACTTTGTTATTTTTCTCACTGTAACTGTGCACTTGGCCTCTCTGGATTGGACACAAGCTGTGTTTTGGGGAGGGGATGGGTGGTCCTTGTTCACCTTAAAAGCAGGTGATCCTGAGGACTGCAGGTATCCTCACAGTTTACCTGATCTGAGTGTCATCTCCCTCTTACCAGCAGCAATATGTCTAAAACGAGAGATTACAGCAGCCAGTCCTACACTCCCGGGAGCAAGCCGGCCAAAAGCACCGCGAGCAACAAGATCGACACGTCGGGCAAATCCAGAGAGAAGGATGACATGGTGGGACTCAACGACAAGTTCGTCAGGCTGATCGAAAAGGTATGTCAATTATAATTGTTTTATTATTATTTAATAATAAAACTAATAATAATGACTTGTATTATTTGTATTTCTTTTACAGCTCAAATAATTATAGCTTTTTTATTTTACGCTTTAAAAGACATATGTTAACTTATAACTGAATAAAAGGCTGAAATTACAACATTTGTTTAGTTTTTTTAACTATATTTTAATACAGAAATGATACGACCATACGACGGCATATAATATACGCCAAATTAGTTTAATCTTATTAATCATGTTTTTTTTTAAATCCTATTTTTAATACAATAGGTTTGGGCTTTTTTTTTTTTTTTTCAAAGAGAAAGTAATACTTTTTTGGTTTTTGTATACATCGTTCACTCTTTTAAACACAACACAACTTCAATATCATTCATACAAGCAAATCAATATACAGTACAAGTTAAAAAAAAAAAACTTTGTAGAGTATGTAATATTATCTAAGACCTTTAAGTTAAAGCCTTTTATTGTCATTGTACACAGAGTACAACGAGATTCAGAGTGCAACTCTGTCCCGGTGTGCAAAAAATACAAACACATAAAGAACACTAAAAAACACGGCCATAGGACAGACACCATAAACAATCATACGGGGGAATAAATAGTTAAAAATATTGATATAAAAATAGTATATAAAGTGCATTAAAAGTGTGTGTATGTGTGAGACTGGTTACGGTTATTGCATTATGTGTGGTGGTTAAGCAGCCTGACGGCCCAGGGGTAGAAACTGTTTTTGAGTCTGTTTGTCCGTGAGTCGAAGCTCCTGTATCTTCTCCCAGAAGGCAGGAGAAAGAACAGACTGTGACCTGGGTGAGAGCTGTCCTTTATTATTTTGTTAGCTCTGTTGCGGCAGCGGGAGGTGGAGATGTGTTCCAGAGAGGGCAGGGGGCAGCCGATGGTTTTCTCTGCCATCCTGATCACTCTCTGCAGGGCTTTCTTGTCCGCAGCTGAGCATCCTGCATACCACCCTGAGATGGAGTATGACAGCACGCTCTCGATGGTCGCCCGGTAGAAGGACACCAGCAGCTTCTTGTTCAGTCGGTTTCTCCGAAGCACCCTCAGGAAGTGTAGTCGCTGCTGGGCCTTCTTAACTGCTGCAGTGGTGTGTGCTGTCCAGCTATTGATTGATTGATTGATTGATTGATTGATTGAAAAGTTTATTAACAGCTTGTATATTGGGTACAGTACAGTACAGCTCAAAACATACAATTGTTAAGGGGATGCAGACCAGAGAAAGACTTTCGTCTTGTTTACATCAGGGTCCCCCATTTCCAATTCATCATATCATTTAAGACATATAAGACATATTTGACACATAATAAGATGGCTTATTTACAATTTACATACAGGTGGTTTTTTACATACAGATGGCTTATTTACAATTTTCATTTTAGATTTCGTTCTAATACATCCTAACCGGACATTTAAGACATACCAAGTCTACAGATATACAGTTAGTAACAGAGTCTAAAATGCGAGTATATACATAGATGGGGGGGGGGGAAGCTGTCCATTGTACGACAGGTTGAGATTTGTACCATTACCGGGGCCAGTTTTGCAATGCTTTCCCCCGAAGGTGCTCTTTAAGAGAGGTTTTGAAGGTAAGTATAGTTTTACTTTCCTTTACAGTTGTGGGAAGAGCGTTCCACCTTGATGTGGCATAATTGCGAAACGTGTATTCCCCTTTTTTTGTGCCAAATCTGGGTTTTACATGATTTGTGGAGCTCCCTCTGGTGTTATGATCATGGTATTCCTTGACCTTTGGGAAGAATGTTGACATGTACATGGGTACCATAGAGGTGTAGTGGATCTTGTAGACCAGGCCCATTGCAAGTAGCTGTACTCTGTCGTCTACTCTAAGCCATCCTAGGTTGTCAAAGTGGGCAGAGGTGAGGTGGGTTCTAGATGAAAGGTCAAGCAGTAGTCTGACCAGTTTATTTTGCGATGTTTGAAGTTTTATTTTTAGCGCCTTGGAGGTGCTATGGCTAAGCTAAGGCTCTCCGAGATGTGAACCCCCAGGAACTTAAAAGTGGAGACCCTCTCCACTCTCTCTCCGTTGAGGTGAAGGGGGGCGTGTTCTGGACGGTGCTTTCTGAAGTCTATGATGATTTATTTTGTTTTGCTTGTGTTCAGATGTAGGTTGTTAGCTGAACATCACGCCGACAGCTTCAGGATCTCGTCTCTGTATGCCGACTCGTCGGCTCCCTTGTATATTTGGCCGACCACCGTGGTGTCATCTGCAAATGTTATAATGGAGTTGGAGGGGTGGGTGGGAGAGCAGTCGTGTGTGTAGAGTGTGTAGAGTAGCGGGCTCAGCACGCAGCCCTGCGGGGAGCCAGTGCTGAGGGTGCGGGTGGAGGAGCAATAAGGGCCTATTTTCACTGTCTGAGGACGGTCTGTTAGGAAATTATTAATCCAGGCGCATAAGATGGAGGGGAAACCTAGGCGTGACAGTTTTTCCACTAGTATGTCAGGTATGATGGTGTTAAAAGCTGTTTCTCTGTCTGCTGCTATTATTTCTGTAACCTGAGGCCATGAAAAGTGCCTCCTTTTACAAGCGTATCTGCATGTACGCCCCCTTGTGGACAATTAGATAACGTTAAGACTGGGGACTGTCAACATAATTTGGGTACACATACACTTGACATTTAACGTTACGTTTCAATACATAATGACTATACATGACTGATTCTATAATTTAGGGTGCATTTCACATCAACAAAACAGTACAAAGAAAGTGTTCTTTCTCAATAGAACAATCAGTGGTTCAAGTTAGTATATTCCTCAGTGTAACATATCCACTAGTTGCAAAGCTTAAACATTTTTATTTATTTTTTTATTTTAAGGGAAAGGATGTTTTCACTACTCAGTTTGTCAACTATGTTACGGACAAACTTGATGTCATTACAATCATTTGATTAAGTCCTGCACTTCAAGTAAAATCAAATTTGAAAGGCTCTTGAGTCTATTCTACCATATATCCAAAGATTTTTTAAAGTTTAAAAAATAATTGTATTAAAGTTTTGTTTTTTCATGTGATATGTTCAGCACTGTCATTAAGTTTAGGGATATTTTGTATTATAAAACTACCATACAGGTCATTTTGATAGTTTTAAGAGATGTCATGTAAAACTCCAACCTGTGTAGATATACATTATACTATAAAGGATATCAGAAGCACTATTTTAGATATTTGAAATTTGAAAAAATGAGGTGCAACATAGTTGACAATGAAAGTCAAACATTTGACGCAAATAACATAGTTGACTGGACACATTATTAACCATCAGCACTATGTTAATTTCAAGGCAGAAGTGCAAAATTCCATTGATAATGATGTGTAATGACGTCTACATGTCGTACAAATTGTCAACTAGGTTACCTGTCAACTAAGTTACTACAGTTATTACAGTACTGGGTAACTCAGTTGACAGGTAACCTAGTTGACAATTTCCCTATTTTGACCCATCATTTCAATGGTAGGCCTTGCCTGGATGACCACATGTCATTTTCTTGAACAGGTTAACATCACATTTGCACATATAATTGAATTAAAATCATTAAACAATTGTAAACCATAACAATGTACGTAACATTGTTGATTGTCAATGAGTATATTAATTGACCATGTGCTATTATACATAAAATATTGTAAAAATGTAGAGGACAATCACCACAGTGTGTTCAAAATGTCTGCCAAAGAGGAACATGGCATCATGTGATGCTGGTGACATGGTATTGGGACAAACAATTTTTGAGTTAAAGGGGGAAGTTCTGTTAGTAACATAGTTGACAGAACTTTTGCGGACATTCATATATTAAGATATTTAAATTATTTAAAGGGGGAAATCAATTAAAAATATGTTATTATTCTTTAGTATTTAGACTTTTGAAATAAATGAATCATTTTTTAAATTTACTTTAATGGTTTTTATTCATTATTTTGAATCCAAGACACCCTCAACTGAAAAACGGACATAGCAAAAACTGACAATTTAAGAACATCATGACACATTTCAAGCTAAATAAAGCATAGGATGCACATAATGTTTGTGTGATATTATACCATGCTTTCCAATAATAGGCAAAATATGATATTTTTGAAGAAAATAGTTAGAATAATTATAATTATCATCAATGGACATCAATGGACATGGAATGTACCCTAAATTGTAGAATCACTCACATACATGGCACTACCTGTTCCCCTTAACTTTATGTTGTGCTCCAGCTTGTGATTGATGTTTTTTTCGGCTCCTGCTGCAAATACTGAATACATTTTAATACTTTTATATTAAATATAGATTTACAGTATATTACAATTGTGCAAAGTAGCTGTTGTCCAATTGTTCTGTTTTGTTTGCCTCTTTGATACAACATATTAAGTGTTTTCCTTATACATTGGACGAAAAACAAGAGGCATACAATGACCCCTACTTGGTCTGTCTCTGTCTTAGAAAAAGAACTTGGAGGATCAGAACAAAAAGCTTAACACAAAACTGAAGATCCTCATGGAGAAGGAGGACTACAGTGGAAAAATTAATGTAATCGTCAAGCAGTTGGAAAACGAGATGGAGCAGCAGATCGAGAACTTGCTCAACGACCAAGAAAAACTGAAGGCTGAGCTGCTCATGAACCAGGAAGATGTTGACGACACCAAGAAGAGGTCAGCGGGGTCAAACTAAATCTGAATATGTCCATTGGTCCTGAATTATGTCTATAAAAAAACACAAGGACACATACAAGCTGTCCTGATTTGTGTATGAATCTTCATTCTATATTTCTATTTGTTTCAGTTGTGAAGTTGAGTTTGTAAAAAAAGCTGATCTGGAGAACGAGTTTATCATCAAGAAAAAGGTACAGTCTGGAACCTTTTAGAAAGATAGTTAATACTCTGCTATATTCACAATTTCCCAAAGTTTGATTTACAGAGTGTCAGTCAACTAATGTCAATATTTAATCCAAAAATATGTGTTTAACAGGAAGTAGATGAGGGCCACTTGGATGCAGTAGATCTGGCTTTGGAGCTGGAAGACCTGATGAGAAAACTGGACTTCCTCAGGATTGGCTATGATGAGGTAATAATATTTGCCTTAAACATAAAATAAGTGAGTTTTAAATAAATAACCTTGTTGTACCCATGTCTGCCTCCTGCAGGAGATCAAGGAGATGGAGTCGCAGGTCCAGAACGAGTCAGTGGTCTTACGCGAAAACAGCAAACGATCCCTGGATATGGACGAAATCATTAATGGTGTCAAGAATCAGTATGCAGATCTGGCCTCCCGCGGCAGGGACGAAGCAGAGCAGTGGAATCAGAAAAAGGTGAGGAAAAAGGAAGATTATACCCAAAGACAACAAGTACATAGCCAGTACGTAGTATTGTCACAACATGTTTACCTGGAATAGTTAAATGTACTTTCTTCCTCTCTTTAGATGGATGCGCTGGTCCTAAATGCAGGAGAGCGTGAGCAGGAAGTGCGTGATTTAAGGAGGGATATCGCTGACCTGGTGCGCATCATCCAGAGGCTCAACGGGGACCTGGAGGCTCTCATAAGAAAGGTTGTGATCACAAGCACTCTTGGAGGTTTTATCGGACATCTAGCCTAGCCTCTGATTTTCTGTTTTACATGTGTTTCTATGTTAGGAAGAGTCCCTGAAGAGCCACATCACTGAGTTGAAGCAAGATGGCAACGCAAACTTAGAGAAGGCTCGGGAGGACATCGCCAGTCTGGAGGAGGCCTCTAGGCGGGTCAGACAGGATTTGGCGGGTCAGATCCGAGAACACCAAGAGCTGATGAACCTCAAGCTGGCTCTGGACATCGAGATCGCCACCTACAGCAAGCTGCTGGAGGGCGAGGAGCAGAGGTACGTGAGATCATGTTTGTTATAAAATATACCACAATGCATTATTTATTGCACTAACAACTCTTTCTGTTTTTGCTCCATCTCTCTGCAGAATGAGTAACCTCATGCGTCGCCCAGGTGAGAATTATGTTGATGCTTTTACACCACTGAAGCCTTCGATATAACAGAAAGCAATGCAGAAAATGTGCAACAAAAAAAAGTGGAGGTTGCCCAATTTATGCTCTGATTGATTCGAGATTTGTTTTCAACTAAAATACAACCTCCCTTTTGCTTAGATTTCTAAAAAAACAAACCGACCAATCCAAGTCCTTACTTGCACGCAGATTTTCCCCTGCCATCGAAGAAACACCTTCCAGAGAAACCACGAGCCCCAGAACCCTCCGAGGTCCAGAGAGAAACTGCTATCCCAGGCTCGAAGAAACGCCTGCTGATCCAGGTGGAGGTGGAGGCCGGAAAAGTGGTGTCCGAAAGCTCCCATTACTCTGAAGATTGACCGGCACTGTCCATCACACAGTCTCTGTCCGCAAAATGTGAATCAAAGAAATTCAAATCACTGTGAACTTCTCTTTAAATCCAATACTTTATCTTTACGCTCTGTGTGCAAAAGCTTCTTGGAAGGTTGATCGTTTTTTCCTAGAATCCGTGCTTGTTTGAGATGTTTTCGTTTATGTCCAGTGGCAGTGTTTTAAAAAATGGTTTCTTATCTTTGTTCGCCTTTGCAAAGGTTCTTTTTGTGTATTTTTCAGCTTTATTCAGTTGTTTCTCTCCTAACTTTGTGAGCAAAAATAAGATTGTGTATTTGTGATAAAGAAACTACGGTGGCCCTGAAGTGCAAGTCAAAACAGCATTTCAGAAAACACTACAGCATTTCAGAAAACACCACAGCATTTCAGGAAACGCCACAGCATTTCAGAAAACGCCACAGCATTTCAGAAAACGCCACAGCATTTCAGAAAACGCCACAGCATTTCACAAAACGCCACAGCATTTCACAAAACGCCACAGCATTTCACAAAACGCCACAGCATTTCACAAAACGCCACAGCATTTCACAAAACACTACAGCATTTCACAAAACGCCACAGCATTTCACAAAACGCCACAGCATTTCACAAAACGCCACAGCAACTTATACGGAAAGGGTATTCCTTTAGGGAGAACACTTCTTGTTTGTGATTGGACAGAGCCAGCCAGAGAAGCACTGCTGTGATTGGTTGTTTTTGCTGCCAGTCAAGAAATGACGCTTCGTGATTGGTCAGCACCCGACAGCGCAACATGTCCCGAAACATCAGCCGTTAGCTGTTAGCACACAGAGCTCACAGCTCCTCATATCTGTTCAGAAACTGGACAAAGGTTAAACAAGTACAAACCACAGACTGTCTATGTCATGGTGAATACAGTCGCTGCTTTATTTATGTCTGTATGCCATTGTTGTGAGTTTGGACGGAGCAGCTACAGGTTAGTTTATCCTAATCGATCCGATCTCCATTCAGAAAACACGCATTTTAAAATGTTTTTCGCCTGCCGTCTTGTCTGCAGACTTGTCACAGCATTAATTCATGGTTTTTACTAACAGGTATCAGTATGTTGTTACTTCGGCATCATTTTGAAACGTGTATTACAATTAAATCACGGAAAGATATGTTCATTTTGGTGCTGACCAATCACGAAGCGTAATTTCTTGACTGGCAGCAAAAACAACCAATCACAGCAGTGCTTCTCTGGCTGGCTCTGTCCAATCACAAACAAGAAGTGTTCTCCCTAAAGGAATACCCTTTCCGTATAAGTTGAAATGCTGTGGTGTTTTCTGAAATGCTGTGGTGTTTTGTGAAATGCTGTAGCGTTTTCTGAAATGCTGTAGCGTTTTCTGAAATGCTGTAGCGTTTTGTGAAATGCTGTAGCGTTTTGTGAAATGCTGTAGCGTTTTGTGAAATGCTGTAGCGTTTTCTGAAATGCTGTAGCGTTTTCTGAAATGCTGTATTGTTTTCTGAAATGCTGTGGTGTTTTCTGAAATGCTGTAGCGTTTTCTGAAATGCTGTAGCGTTTTCTGAAATGCTGTATTGTTTTCTGAAATGCTGTGGTGTTTTCTGAAATGCTGTGGTGTTTTGTGAAATGCTGTAGCTTTTTCTAAAATGCTGTAGTGTTTTGTGAAATGCTGTGGTGTTTTCTGAAATGCTGTGGTGTTTCCTGAAATGCTGTGGTGTTTTGTGAAATGCTGTGGTGTTTCCTGAAATGCTGTTTTGACTTGCACTTCAGGGCCACCGTAAGAAACGCTGAAAAAAGTTTGCTAATAAATGTAACACTAAAATAAAGAACAGGTGAATAAAGTAGTGTTTCTGTTCTGTTTGTCCACAATATTGGGAAGAATATTCATTAAGATGATCCGGAGTAGAACTGGATGCTTAAAATACTTTTTTCCCCAAAGAAAATCTGAAGGCATTACAGAGTTTACTTTTAGGCTGACTTGCACTATAATACAATCAATAAATAAAGTGCTATGAACAATACATCTGCTCTCTTTCCTTTCAAGTAACATGAATATATAGTCAGATATTTTGGAAAATACATTTGTTGCCAAGAGTAAGATGAGAAGATTGATATCACACATGTAGCCTAAATATGTAGCTGCATGGAGCCAAGAGCTTGTTAGCTTAGCTTAGTATACATATTGAAAAGAGTTGAAATCCCTTTCCAGGCTAAGCTAGCTAACGTGATTTTCACCCTCGGAAAAATGTTCTACCCTATCTGTTAGGAATCCAGACATAGTTTGGGAACAGTGTGTTTGTTTGTCAGTTGCTTTCCACCTGATACAGATAGCGTCAGTCAAACAGAGCCGGACAGTCTCATCCTGTTCTCCTCGGTCTTCCTGACACACGAGTACACACTATTCCAGTGTTTCCCCTACCAATGCGGGGCGCTGCTAAATTAAAAAATAATATATATATAGCACCAAATTGCAACTGAAGTAATCTATCTACGGTCACTTTTCACATTGAACATGTGCTCTTTTATTAAATAAACTAAACGCCTATGTTATTTATCCAATGTATGTGCATGTTTCAGTGTCCACTGCTTTGCGTATTCACATTCTCCCTCCGCTCTGTTTCTGAAGGGCGGGGCTCGTTTTATTTGTTTATTATTATTTTTTAACCTCAAGCCGTCACGGTAGTCGTCACGGAGAAGGACACACACAACCTGCCCAGGTGGACGCGCGCGAACGCGACAACGAACGTAGCGTGCGCATTCTAAAAATAGCTCACAGATGGAGCAGGTACCGCGGTTTTGAACTACAGTATTGAATTTGACAGAAAACAACAATGAAACGCCAGCAGAAGAATAGTCTAATGAGTTGGGTGAAAAAAAAAAGACAGGAGATGTGAGTTGGTTTATTCAGTAAATTAGCTCAGGATAATTGGATGTTCTGTCTACACCTGTTGATGTGAGGCTAATGCAGGATTTGCTAGCTTGATGCTACCGGCATTTAGCGGCAGCCAGTGACTCAACAAATTGCCTCTTAAAATGTATCGTCAGCAATGTATGACAAGCAGACTGCTTGTTTAATTTTAGACTCACACCAATAGCTCAATATGATCATAACACGATTGCTTTCATATCAGAGATCAGATGAGGTGGAGCTGCCTCCAGCAATAGAGGATGAGGCAGAGAGAAGCAGCAGCAGCAGCACAGGGTTGCAGCAGGTATGTTATATGCTGTAGTCAGGTGATTTAAATGTATCAATGAAAGGAAGAAGTGTAGGCTACATGATAAGAAGGGAATACAATTTGAATAAAAGTAATACAGTACAGTGTAACACTGTACTTTATTACTTTTTAATGTACAAATACTTTGTTACTGTTATTAAATTCAAATTAAAAAAAAAAATGTCACCGAGCAGCACCCTGCCAAGGCAGTAAACCTAGGGGAAACACTGCTATTCCAATGTGGAAAGCCTACTGGAACATAGTTTAAGCAAAGCAGGACATACAAAAGACATACAGTCTGTGTGCCCTGACCTCTTCATGATATCCCATCTCTCCTAATGTCCCGTAGCACTTCAGATTGTGTGCTTTATAATTTGATTAAAGTCTGCTTCAGCTCGTCTATTTCCACCCACATACTGTAGGCCTACCGTATGTACACATTTTAAACCAGACTTTAATTAGGGAAACAAAAAGCATGTATTGCATGTTTAATCAAGTCTCAAATAAAAATCTAATTTCCCTTGCATGGATTTTTACAACAAATAGGCCTACAGTTTCAGCTCATCAAACAGTATTTAAAAGCAGCTTTTAAAGGTATTTAACTTTCCTGTAACAGTTTATCTAAATATAGCAGAAACGAATTTGCAACTGTAACATGCACACATGGTTTACACCTTTCTTTGCTGCATGTTCTTGCAGAAAGTTCCTCTTTTAGATTGATTGGATGCATCCCTTTCCCCTCTTCATCTTGCATACCAGTATATAGATAAACACGAGTGGAGTAAACATTGCTGGCAGGTGGTTGAAACTTGGAAAAAATCTAAACTGATAACCAGCACAGGCAGGACGAGGAGAAATAAGAATATAGTCTCAGGGTTGCCAACTTTGGGTACCTGGCTGGAGTGAGATTTTGATATCATGGGTTTAATTATACATATGCGCACTAAATGACTGCTATCGTGTCAGTAGCGGGACCTTAGCATATATATAGGATATGTATACAAATACACAATATTGGACACAGACTTTAAATATTCATCAGTTTCTTCTCAGACCGCCACTTCCTCGGACCCCTGCGTCCTCCACCTGTCTCTGAGTTTCTGGACAAGTTTATATGCAGGTTCTGTGTACTGCCTGTTGACTAGGCCGAGCACCAGCGGCACCACCGCCATGCTTCCAATCCCGGCGCACGACAGCACGATGTGAGTGGTGGAGTTCCCCCTTGTATCGCTGATCAAGAACCCTATGCAGACGTGCATGTAGATGAGGTAGGGTACCCAGCATGCCAGAAAGGTCAGAGACACCGCCACCACGCAGCGAGTGTAACGCAGGTTAAGCCTCTGCTCTTGGTCCGAGGCCTGACTTCCCCTCTCTACTGAGCGATGGAGGCGACATATGTCCTTCAGCTGGCCTCGGGTGATCCACAAAACACGGCCAGTCATGCCAGCGATGGTGAGAATAGCAGGTAAGACCAGTCCATACACCTCCAAGTAGATAAAAGCGTTGGGGAATACGCGCCTGTACGAGCAGCACGTTGTTCTGTTTTCTGAACAGTTTGAAAGTAGAGTTGTACTTGCACAACAGCCGTTCCAATCAGGCCCTGTCCAGTTATTCCACCCAAAAGCAGGTAGAGATGCGTACAGAAGTGGAGGCGTCCAAACCACAAGCAACGCCAGAGGGAAGCTGCGGTGCATCCACAGGTTGTTGTAATGCAGGGGGTCGACAATGCAGATGTAGCGCTCATAGTGGACCATCACCAGATTAAAAAGGAACGCCAGGAAGAGGAAGTTTGGGAAAATGTGAGCCACTAGGCAGGAGCTGAAACTCAACTCTCGGTTCAGACCCATTAACGGTATGAAAGGCAGCGCCACCCCCGTGCACAGATCTGCCACCAGCAGGCTGAGGAAGAAGTAGTTGGGCGTGTTGTGGAGCTGACGGTTCCAGGCGATGCCCATGATGATGACGAGGTTGGCCAAGATGATGGAGGTGGACAGGGGTATAGTGATGGCGTAGATTAGGTGCTCTCCAGAGAGCAGAGCATGGGAGTCGTTGCTGTCCATCATGTGAGAAATCTGCAGACTGGTTCCACTCCCATCAACCTTGCAGGGCGGAAATGCATTGGTAAATAAAGAGAGATATTCCTATCTACAGTTTAAAAGAAAACTTCTAAAATGCAACAGAAAATATGCATTTGTATAATAATTACCTTCACTTTTGGTTCCTTAAAGTACTCCTTTATTAAGTTGAGATAAAATACTGAGCTATGAGCTTCTTGTGTCAGAACAGTTACCGTGCACTAGCCTATACACTTCCTTTCTATCATATCCTGTCAACTGAACACAATTAACCCTTTAGTGAACAAACAGCCGAGATAAGGGCACGTGTAAACGGACGTGAGGCCACTTTCATTCAATAATTCATCAGCAGGGACTCTAAAGTTACAAACGCTTAACAAGTCAGTGAAACTAGTCAGTTTATGTGAAAATCTCTCTAGTTACATATTTTGATGGTACAAATAAATATTGCAAGATTATTCAAATGTCAGTACACATTAGGCTGCTGGCTCAAAAAAGGGAGTTTTATAGAACCAAAGTCCTGTCACAGTTTTCACCTACAAGTCTTTAAAAGGTTTAAAAACATAACTGCTATTCACTATTTGGTTTAATTGATGTTCTGTTGGATCTTCTTGTGGGGATTTATCATTTAACTCATCTTATCTTGTTGTGAAATTAGACTTCCTTTAGAGAACGTGAGGCACCATTTTCTCACGAGATAAAATGTTGCTTCACCATACAAAGATCGCGTTTCAACATTTGTTATCACCAGTAACAGATAGGCAAATATGAACCATTTAAAACAAAAAGGAACAAACCTTGGAAGACTTTTACCTTTTAGGTCCAGTCATGTATCCTTGGAAAAATCCCTTGCATATCACATGTACAAGAAGGAGATGCATCACCACCACCATGGAGTCCAGGAGCGTCTTCTTTATCCTTTAAGATCCTTTCAGCTACAGCAGCCTGACCACACAGTCACAGAGAGACAGAGTGAGGAGCCAAGAGTGTCTCTCAGATACTTTAAAGGGGAAGTGCACACTGAAGGAGGAGAAGGAGGAGGCGTATATCTCTCGTTTCCTGCAGCTGGTCATGCTGAGGTTGGGATGGTCAGTGTCCACTAACCATTCAGCTACTGACTTTGTCTTGCAGCCTTTGTTCCCTACTGTCCATGAATGCATCTCTGAATGGAGGGAGGATGGGAACTGTTATCACTGCAGCCTGAAGAACATGCCTGGGTATCGACCTGACATGAGGTTTAAATTCACACCCTCCATAATGGCCCCCAGATGCTTATAAAAAGATAGTTATGATCAACTTAAACCTCAGTTAGAAAATGAAGTGATGGACATAAGAAGTTGGGAAATACATCCATTTTCTCCTTAGTTACACATTTAGTTTACAGACCAAGACAGTGTTTAACATTTTACAACAAACTGTTGTCCAAGTTCACCACTTCTTGCAACATTGCCTTGTGTCTATTTCCTGGGGGTGTTGTAGGTCCTTTATCTCCTTTTAAATCTCTAATTTAAGATAAATAATAATATTTAAACACACCACCCGGCCACATTATTTTTATTATACACAAAAGTCAACTAAATGTAGGGTTAGGGTTAGATAGATAGATAGATAGATCGTACTTTATTGATCCCAAATTGGGAAATTGTTTTTGTTACAGCAGCATAAAAGGCATTTTACAATAAAACAAAATATACAAGAATAGAAATAAAATATAAAATATAAAATATACATGTCGAAATAGAAAATATACATGCAGATATTATATATATATATACAAATATATATATATATATATTCAAAATATATGGAATATGGAGTATTAAATATGAAACAGATTATGTATGAGTAAAATGTACAACGTGGTTTTATTTCTAGAGAAACTATGGAGCAGAGAGTTCTCTTCCAGCCAGAGGTGATTTATTGTACAGAGTTATTGCAGTGGGCAGGAATGTTTTCCAGTATCTGTCCTTGTGGCAGCGGAGCTGCAGCAGTCTGTTGGAGAAGGAGCTCCGTTGACTGTCCAGCTGCAGGTGGAGAGGATGGGTGGGGTTATCCATGATGGACAACAGCCTGTTCAGTGTCCTCCTCTCCACCACAGCTTCAAAGGGGTCCAGCTTGATGCCGATGACTGACCCAGCTTTCCTGATCAGTTTATTGATCCTGCTGGTGTCACCGGCTCTGATGCTGCCCCCCCAGCAGACCGCAGCAAAGAAGAGTGCACTAGCCACAACAGACTGATAGAAGATCTCCAGCATCTTGCTGCATACGTTGAAGGATCTCAGCTTCCTCAGAAAATAGAGTCGGCTCATCCCCTTCTTGTACACAGCGTCAGTGTTGATCCTCCAGTTCAGCCCATTGTCTAAGTGCACTCCCAGGTACTTGTAGACCTCCACAACAGCCACATCCTCTCCTAGAATGCACAGGGGCAGAGGAGGAGATGTCCTCTTCCTCCTGAAATCAATGACCATCTCTCTGGTCTTGGCCACATTCAGAAGCAGATGATTTCTTCCAGTCCACTCAACAAAATCACCCACCAGCGCTCTGTACTCCTCCTCCCGTCCATCCCTTATACACCCTACCACTGCAGAGTCATCCGAAAACTTCTGCAGGTGGCATGACTCTGAGTTGTATAGAAAGTCAGAGGTGTATAAGGTGAACAGGAAAGGAGACAGCACAGTCCCCTGTGGAGCTCCAATACTACCAACCACCACATCAGACAGCACACTGCCCAGCCGGACGTACTGTGGTCTGTCCGTGAGGTAGTTGGTAATCCAGGAGATGGTGGACGAGTTTACCCTCATAGCCTGCAGCTTGTCACTCAGTAGCCGAGGCTGGATCGTGTTGAATGCACTGGAGAAATCAAAAAAGGTGATTCTCACAGTGCAACCCGATCCATTCAGGTATGAGTGAGCACGCTGCAGCAGGTAAATAATGGCATCGTCCACCCCCAGGTGAGGCTGGTAGGCAAATTGCAGAGGGTCAAGGAATGATCTGAGATGGGCCAAGACCAGTCTCTCAAGCACCTTCATCACATGAGATGTGAGTGCTACAGGGCGATAGTCATTGAGCCCAGAAGGAGTTGTCTTTTTAGGGACCGGAACAACGCAGGATGTCTTCCACAGCACCGGGATGGTCTCTAGGTGCAGGCTCAGGTTGAAGAGATATTGGAGAACAGGAGCCAGCTGGCGTGCACAGGTCCTCAGGACCCTGAGGACCTAACGCTAACTCTCTTAGCTAGAAAACAATTACGGACCGTCTCCACAGCAGCGTTAAAAAAATCTTGGAGGTGGGCGTATCTGAGGCTTGGGGATTTTTTTGCGATCAACCAATCACATGAATCTCCCGCCCGCGACATACGAAGCCAAAAAGCCCGAAGTAAACTGGATATAAACTCCCCAAAACAGGCGAAAACATACCACTGTCTCTGCCACCTCCCTCCATGCCTGGCTCCTCCGGTTTATATCCCGGTAGGTCTGGTCATAAAGCACCGGGTGATTGATTCGCTACCGCTAATTTCTCCTCCATTTTTTGGAATATGAGGAAATGACCTGCGGTATGTCTCTCCCAGCATACACGCCGTTTGATTGGCTAGAGCTTGAACTGCCAGATTTGCGTACACGGGATTTGATTGGCTGCCGCTTCCACCTCAGCTTCAAAAGTTGAACATTGTTCAACTTTGAATCTTGAAAATCCTGAGAATCTCCGCTCGCCTGCCCACAATGCATTTCGGCGAAAAGTGAGGGAAAGTGACGTCACCCCATTCAAAGTGAATGGGCAGAAGCGTTTCAAGATTTTTTAACGCTGCTGTGGAGACGGCCCGTTAGCCTACTGTTTTCCACCAATTGTTTAAATTTAGATAGTTGGACTTATAACTAAATACATAAACACATGTATACACTTTTATTTGACACAATTAAGAGCCAAGCTAGTTTTCTTTATACCTGCTTTGAGTTTTACAAACCCATTTCAAAAACAGCCATACCATTCTGGTTAAAACAAATGCTACGATGTATTTGCTCCAGACCCTAACATATACAAAGACTGCTTACGACAGTGTGTACGTCTGAATTCATAACAGCCGTCACACACATCTCATATTTAAACACAGCTTTAGATGGAGGGCCGGTGGGGACCTGTTCTGTGAGCCAAACACGAAACACTCCTTTACTGATAGTCTGGAGCAGACCTGGTGCTGGTTGAGATGGACGAGCTGCAGTCAGATAATGGCTTTTAAACAAATACGTTCCCGAGGTCTGGAGCGTCCGGAAGACACTACGCAGGGAGGACAAGCTGGACGTGAAACCACAACATCTTCACATTACAAAGGAGAAGATGGAGCATTTAGGCTTTCCTGGAACACAGGGTCCTACTCAACAGCACATGATCTAATCTCATGTTTTATTCACAGTGGAAATATTTAATGTGATATGATTCATTTAAAGTCCTCAACAGAATCTCTAGCTGGCAAAGGAGTTCAAAGATTGTTTGTCAAGCTAGCTAACGTAAGCTAAAACACGGCTCCAGCTATATTGGCTTACACTTTTTTCATTGATTGTGGCACACTTTTTCTTTCTTTTTTTAGGATTTCCGTTTCTTTGACCATTTATCCTCCGCACTTTAACATTTTTGCTCCTTTTAACCGTTTTTTATTTTGAACCTCACACTTCAATTTGACCCTTCAACTTAGTATTTTTCCATATTGAGAAACTGAGCTGTAAACCCCAATTTTTTTAAAATAAAACATAAATGATTTACCAATTTAAAATGATTACACTTTTTACAATGTCACCTAACTGAGTCCCTTCTTCATAATGTTTCCGTCTCTCTGCAAAGTGTGAAACAGATGTGTTTTTAATGGGTTTGTCTCCGGGCCTTCTCTTCCTCCAGACATGTTTACCTTGGCACCAGCACCTGTCTCTATCTGCACAACCAATTTGTTTGGCATCTGTTTTCAGCGCACCACCTCCCTGACAATGAGCTGCGCTTTAATAGATCAGGCAGTGGCCGTGTCAGTCTAAATGTGATAATCCTGAAGGCCATTCCTCGCCTTTGTGTTCGTCAGCACGGTGACCTTTGAGGCCAAACACGGCTGTGACAGATGAGGAAAACATCATGCTACCAGGTGTTTCTATCCCCTGGCCCAGCTGCATGCAACAATGCTGCTTAAACACTGAGTTTAGTCCATACAATAAAACATGTCATGACTACAGAAATACACTTGATTCTGTGCATCATCTCCTAACTATATGCCACCATACTCAACTATTTTTACAATGCCTTGAAGAAGTACACAAACATGTTTGTGCGTGCAAGTGTTTTACGGCCTGCCTGTCCCGGTGAGTTATGCATGGACCCTTAGACACATACAATGCGTGAGCGGAGGATCCAGGTACGAGGAAGAAGCACTTGTGCACAGGATTCCCGGTTGTTTTTCCTCATATAGCTGAGAGGAGAACAACAACAGAACAATAGAGTTAGAGTAACAGAGCAGGTTTTGGCCTTGAAAAAAGAGTTTTTATAAAGTATGAAGGAGGGCAGTTTGAACCCTGACTGAATCACGTTTCCTCTCTGCTATCTGTGGTCTTCATCAGGGAGAGGGTAACCAATCACATTTCACTGAGTCACTGCAGAGCTAAAGTGCATAATGTTGTAAGATTTCCTTCGAACATGTTCTCGTACTTTAACAAGCAGAGATAAATATGTTAGCAAACACTTAGTCACACATATACACTGGTGAGCAGCTGCTTCGCCTGTGTTAAAGCATACAGCGAAGCCGCTAATGTATTTCCTGATTGTGGGAAATACAGGTCATGGATGTAGAGTATTTTTTGCATGATCAACATCTACTTGGTGATAGAAAGTGTAATTGTTAGAAAGGGTTTTTACAACATCTAAGACCTATTGTATATTTGATGGAGCCTAGCAAGGGAGTCCTGTCTCCTGACTTCTGTTACTCATATCTGATAAAACAGA